CCTATTCCCTTCTCCCCCCAGTTATAATAAAGTAATCAAAATCAATCAGCAACTATAAGCCAGGGACACACTACAGAGGGGGAAGGAGGGTCTAGCCAGACTCTTAATTCTACTTCAGTATAACAATATTTTTCTCAGTCAACCGATATCCATCATATAGCATTAGAATAATTTTGGTTTGTAAATCTAACTTTTTGAAATATATGTTAGCAGGTAGGATAGGTTGTACTTTATTTTCTGTTTGTGCCTGAGTCCAAAGGTATTAATAAATGATAGAATAATTCTTCTGTAATTCCTGAAAGAGTTCAAATCGACTGATTTACACAGATATCCCCCACTATCTAAATGAAAAGCATTCCTATTAGGTTTGATTTATTTGATGGGCTATTTTGGGGGTCTGAAAATGCTCTTACCACTAATTTATTTGTATTTCTTATTTATGTTTAATTTAATTTATAAAAATATAAAGTATATTTTTTACATCATTCTTCCTTTTTGTACAATGTATGCTTTCTCCTCTCAGGGGTAGTCCCCATAAAATTCCCACTACCACTTCACCCATGCACCATCACCATAGTCCCTTGTGCTCTTCCTGTGCTTGATCCCCATCCCTCCCCCTATAACTTACCGCTAATTTATATGGAATAATTTTCGAGTGTCCCCAGACCAAAAAAAAAAAAAAAAAATCTACCAAATCAGAATGTTCTACTTTTGGACCATGGGGGATAGTCCATAAAGATATACTGAACAGACACCTCGGGACTATTGAGAACAGCTCAATTGAGTAACTGAGCTCCTTATACTATATGAGGCCTATTTTGAAATGTTTACACTTCTGGGGGTTCTCAACCCATTAACTGGTCTACCTGGACTTCCTGGGGAAGAATCGGGTGGACTTCGCGAGGACAGCAAGGGGCAGTGGATGTTCCTCCCTGCTCTTGAGTACACAGGCTGTTTTCTGACTCACCATGCCATCCTGATTCTTCCACCAGAGTTTGCACTAAAGGAGACCACCTCAGTATTTCTGTAAACACCCTAATATTTGAGGGAGGTGAATCAACTACTGATAAACTGGATGTGTACCTTTTGCCCCATTTCTTGGGACCCCAACAAACGACATGACCCTTGCTCTGTATCCTAGATTGAGGGCAATGTAGAACAAGGCTGGTGTATTGTAGGAACACAGACATAAATCAGCAAAAGCAGATTTGGGATTATATAAAATAAAGCTCTGAAAAAATGCTTTTTAAAAATCCTTTAAAAAGCAATCTTTTCTAAAATTCCATGGCACTTGAATTCTAGATGATTTCTTTTTTATTTTTAATTTCATTTTATACAACTGCTCCCTCTAGTGGCTATAAAAAGCATGACCCCCCCAGCAAATATCCAAAATCAAATTTGGGTGACAGAATTTGGATAATTACTTAAACATATCAAAGTAGTGATGAGAGAAACTTAAAGTAAAAACTGAATAAACTATAGGGAAACACTTTTTTTTATTCTTACTGATAGTCAGATTACATCAAGAGCTTTAGAGATAGTAAGTAGTCATAATCTATCCCTATGCCTGTTTTTGAGAGAAATCTGACAAGAATGTGACAGGAAAGGGAAAGTTTAACAAGCAGGTAGTCTAAATTATACTTATGACAAAATGGAAATTAGAAAAGGAAACTCTTCAATTTACAGAAGCCTCATCTCTCCAAGTCAGAACTTTCTTAATATTGAATTTTCTAGAGAGCAAATTCATTCAAAGACTGAGCTTCTTTTCAGGTTTAGTTTCAGAGGAAACCATTATAACATAACTGCATACCAGTGCCATTATCAGGTCATCATACTGTACATTGATAAATCCCCTTGAGAATTGCTAAAGGGGTCTCTAAAATTTGGCATACGTGTGTGCGTGTGTGTGTGTGTGTGTGTGTGCATGCGCATACGCTGACCTGCCTGCATATGTATTTTGATTGCTGTTAGAGTTACTTTGAAGGACTTTTCATTTTTCTTTCTTACTCCAGCATCGTTGAGCTGTGCAACCATCATTGAAACACTTCCTCTTGCTTCAGCAGATGAACATAACTGCTTGTTGCTGATGGCTCTGAAACAGAGCTGTCATTCAAGAGCACTAGCTCTGCAGGACTGCACGGCCCCAGTGTGCTACTTCCCTGGCTGTCACTGGGAAAGCACCTGCTCGTCTCTGTGACTGACATGCAGCGTGGGCATCAGCAGAACCCCGCTCCATCCCCAGCATCAAATTGAGACATCCACATACCATACGTGGGGCCTGCAATTGAGACACCAACATGGCGGAAGGGAGACTCCTGGGAAGCGCATGCAGAGCTCTGAACAGCACTTCTCAGTGTTTATTGTGTTTGCAGGTCGCCTGCAACTCTGGTTAAGACCCAGATTCTGACAGTCATTTGGGGCTAGGGCCTGAGCTTCTACATTTCCAAAAGCTCCCACGTGACTGAATCTCAGACCACACTTTAAGAGCTAGGCTCTAGGGCATGCCAGTCTTCAGCAATGATTCTTTCAGGGACATTCTGGGATTCTGAAACCTGGGTACCATAATATTGTACATTTTGTGGACACCCACAAACTCAATAGTGGATAAGCCGTACCTGAAGTCCTAATTTTCACAAGATGATAGAAAATCTCTAAACTGGCAAGTTATTTTGTAAATTGAAAATTCCAGACTGATCATGGATCACTTACAATCTGTCTTAGACTCTAATATGGCTTTAAGTAGCAACATCAAGTTAAACACCTTTTAATGATCTCTATCCTTCTTCACCTTGGTTTATTAATGCAGTTCATTTTAAAGAAGTCTCATGGCCTAAGTAAGCCAAAACTCATGGTGTGGGCAGATGGTAGAAGGAACACCACCACAAAACCTGCCACTCAGAGTGTAACAGATGACCGTAACAGCACAGAACTATCCCTTTGTTCATTTTGCTAATGAGTGTCCTCATTGCTCTGGGAATCTGAATAGTTAATTACTTGCAGTTCCTGCAGCTGACAGATGGTGGGGACAGAGCTAAAGGTTAATGTCAATGGAAAAGGACTGTAGATAGAGAGGAGAAGGAAAAACCCTAAGTGGGATGTGTTTTCCTTGTTGTTTCCTGCTTTTATACAACATTTTTAGAAGACACATTTAGGTATTAGGTGCCTGCCACCTCTTATAAATTTTACACGTCATTTGATTCATTAAATAGTTCTTAGTTTATAATGAGGGTGCTTAGGTAATCTGCTGTGGATGTTCATATCCTGCCACTGTTAGAAAATGCATACTTAAGTCTGTAAAGGTAAATATTGTTTATTTGTTTGTTTTTTTTTAAAAAAAACTTTTTAACCTTTAAATACATGCTGTGATGGCCTCATATAGAACAATGTGGGACAAGAAATGAAAGGCTGGGATTCTTCCTTTGTTAAGAAAATAGTTGCTTATTATTGGATTAGGTTTTATTAGTTAAAGAATGAATTGGCCTCAAATGATTTACATGGAAGGGTGAATCAAAGCAATGAAGATTTGCATTTGGGTTTAGTGCAAAATTTAACATTATTTTAAAAATGAACTTGGATATAGCATTTTATTAGTGAATTTATTTTTTAGAAGCTTATAAATATATAAAATAGTAGCCACTTATTTTTTGAACCCTATGATCACAAAGGCAAATATTTTACCAATTTACTTCCAGATATCTCTTAAAGTTAAATAAAAATACAACTCCAGCAGGAAACCATTTTTGGGAGGAATGATTTTGGTTTTGAGGGGAAATTTTATTCTTGTGCATTTGTAGTCATGCTACCAAAAAGAATGGTTATTATTTATCAGATGAATAATTTAAAGTTCAAAACTTTCTTTATATTAATTTAGAAGCAAGGCATATAGAATCTTCATCTCTTCTAACAGTAATACAGTGACTTTTAAGCATACACTCATATTTTGTGGTTGCATAATCAGTTTAATCGTTTCACATCATGAAACAAAGTTCAGCATCAGCTTTCCCATTGTACTACATCTTAATTTTTTTCAATGTGTGGCAGTAAAATGTAGACAGCCATAAGCAAGTATATTCAGATGTTTTCAAAAGCTTTGAAACAGACAAGAAGAAGAAGAAAAGAAAAGTAGCTGTCCCGATAAGCTTCTATTGCGTAAGAAAAAGCCTCTCCCATAATGGACATGGCAAGATTTAAACAAAAGATGCACATAATAAAAATGTAAATGAGTTTGCTTTACTAAAACTATAACTTTAAAGTCTTTTGTTGCAAGTTATCCTGAGACCTTCTTACAAGGTAATCACTGTTTGCATAGAGATTGAAACCAAAGTCTTCAATAGCATTAAACGTCCGCACAGCCCCAGTGTGACAGGCATGCAAAGCCATGTTAATGTTCAGAATATGAATTGCCTCTGGGTGGCTCCTCCACCAAGCAGAAAACCAACTGTGTAGATATCCGTGTGCCTGATGGACTCCATGCGGCTCCCAGCCTGAAAACGTCACCACTTTGACAGGTGATGTGCTCCTCATGACACTGGCAGCACTGACACTGGGAAATGCCACAAAGGCAACAAGCCCCCCTCCTTAGCCATGCACTTTGCCACCCCCTGGCGCTGCCCGGCCACGGTCTCCCCAGCCTGCCTAGTTACAGGCGGACAGCACTTCAACACACACAGAGGGAAGTATGGGTGGAGGGGCCCCAGCTGCCTCCCCGGCCACAGCCTCCATAATGAATTGACCTGAATGATGAGGGCACACAAACAGTATGATATGCATTATTCCTGTCAATAAAATGTCCCCATGTGCTGTGGTCTTTGTGCAGAATGTACTGCAGCTTTTCTTCCAGCAAGCTCTATTTAGTCTCCTTCCTTTTTACTATTCATATTATAAGTGTGTAATAGAATTCAGAAAATTATATGATAGCTCTTCTGTATCTGTATTGTCTTGTGTTGCATATTCAAATCCTTGGCTCCCTGCTTAGAAATATGCACTTCCCTGTCTTCCAGGACTCTCTTGGGACCACAGAGATCAGCCCTCCAAAATATGCTGTAGGACAGAGGAGTTTGGAGTACAAACAAGAAAATGAGACACTGCTTCAAACAATTTCAGAACTCAGAGAAGAAATCCAACTCTATCTAAAAGAAAACTCAGAATTAGGTAACATTTTAAAGTCATTTTGGAGAAAAATCTATGCATTTGGGCACTTCATCAAGTTCATAGCTATTTTTGTCTTTTCCAAACACACGTTTGTTTGGTTATTTACATCAACTTGCTAGCCATCTTTGATTTTCATTTACGATGGCATTCCTTGCTTGGGACAGAGCATACACTTTGCTTGCACTCCTGAGCCCCACTATGTTAACGCATGTTGAAAAATAAATGAAAACAAAGCCAAGCATTGGCTTTGATAGAAGTGTTGATTGGCGCTCTATTTCACTTAGAAATATTATAAATAGAAGCTTTTGAAATTTATTTCCTATCCTTAATTGATTATCTAAAATTTGTAGTATTTAAATACTTAAGCTGACATACTGGGGTATGCTGTTGTAGAAACAGAGTTAGTCCTTTGGGGAAATGTGCTGCTACTTATTTACTATGTATGTTATTATTTATCTTTAATTGTTCATACAAACTTTCATGTATGTACTTTATACCCCCTTTTTACATACCAGAAACATTGGAAAAAGTTGCATTTAAATCTCCAAAGTTAAATTGCTTTCAAGTGTTTTTTCACTATCTTTGTATTTATGTTAATTATATAGCAGTTCCCTTTAATCTGCAATATGTAATGAAATGTGTTAGTAAAAAAAAAATTGACAGGATAAACCGATAGAATCAGATATATTAAAACATCTCTTGAATATAAAATTATACCCTGCCAGAATAGCTTTGTTTCTCTTCAGATGTGGTATAATAATGCTTTTTCAGGTTTCGGTCGCTCTTACCAAGTTATAAAGTGCCACCTGCTAAAACACATTGTATTGGCTGTGACTAACAGCAAAAACATTCATTGCTGGTATTGATGAAAAGCTTTCAACCCTCAGCCACACTTGAATCTTGAACTTAGTTCTTAATCCCTATCTGACCAGCCATCTGAACAGCAGGAAGAAGGCTGTGAATGTCAAGGGCAGTTGTGAAGGTCACAGTCCTGCTAGGACGTGGGTCCACCATGCCTGCCAGCGGTGTAACCGCTTGCCCTGAAGCAGGCAGCTTGAATACAGGGGCATACGCTTGTAATTTCATGGTTGGTCTCTCTTTCTTTTTGTTTCCAGAAGATGAAATTATAAGTCTGAAAGAGAAGGCAGATAAGGATCATCTGATTATTCAAAAGGTACTGTAACTTTTTTATATTGATGAATGACTCTTTGAAATAGCAGCATAATTGGTGAAATAACACTGCATCCCCCTTGCCTTATGGTAGAGAAAAGGTGATTTTCTATATTTAATCTCTCCTATTGTATGGGTCAAGTCTCTAGTAAAGAATAAGGAGTCTGTCTTGAAAATGAACTCATGTAAAGATACTTCTTTTATTTGGGATGAGTTGAATGTCTACCTTGTTGATGGTAAGGATTTGAAAAGTTTTATGACATAGGGAATCCAAAGATGGGATTGTGAAAAATTATGTTATTAATAATGAGCATACCAGATGTCTGTTTATGTTCATCTATTGGTATATAAATGATTGGGGCTTGTGTTATCCAAAAAATTTCTGTTTAGAGCAGGGAATTCTTTTGGTGTTACAGAGATCAAGATTTTCTCATGTATTCAATGTGGCAAGACCCGGAAGTTTCTGCCCTTCACACATAAGTCCTGTTTTGTGTTGTCTTAGTTTTTTGAATGGATCCCATTTTTAGCTCTCAGAATGCTTTTCTTTGATGGTCGGTCTTCCTTGCTGTGACATAAGCCCACAAGGTCAGAGACTACACCTGCAGGTTCCTGGGTTATTCCCAGTGCCCCCCAACACTTTAAATTACTCTCAGAGTGATTCATGGGATGAGAACACAGAGTTCATAAAATTTACCAATGAAAAAGTATATTCACATCTCTAAATTATTCAAATAAATATACATGCTTTTCACTTGCTGAATCAAGTATCAATTTTTAAATGAAAATTGAGATAAAATCAAAAATTCATTTTCTCAGTTGCACTAGGTGCATTGCCAGTGCTCCATTGCCACTCATGCCTGGTTTTAGGTGTAGATTTCAACCTGATCTTGTAAGTTGAGGTATTTTTTTTTCATTCATCTTTTTTATTTTTTTAAATTTTATATATTTTTATATCATTTTTCATTTTTGCACAATGTATGCATTTTCATCTTGGTTAAAGTCCAAGTTGAGGATTTTTAAGTCTTTGGTACTTTCAAGAACTGTTTGAAAGAAAATGTTTGCCCTGATGGATCAGAGTTGGGAGATGTTTTCTCTGATCACTGAATCCATCACAGGGTTTCGTGAGGTTATTTCACCTCGTGCTTCACCTGATTTGCCATGGTGACTGTGGTGACATAGTTCCTACAGAGAGAACAACAGGCTCTATGAGCAGACAAGTTTAACCTCTTTGGCACCAACCTTGAAGGTTAAAAATGAAATCTCAGCTTTCTAGTTTCACTTAATCACATACAAGAGAACATCATAGTTGATTTAAATGTTTCCATAGATAATCAATCTCTACTGTCACTGTTGCAGATGAATTGCATATACTTCCTATTTTCTGTGAGGAATCCAAGAAGAATTTAAAGCAAACAGTGTTCCCATGAGCCACTATTGGAAAGAAGCATGCCTTGAGAGTAGTCAGTAGCTACCCTATGTGAGCTTAAATATTTCAACTAAAATTTGCCTTCACTTTCTAGATCTGTACTTCCAAGTGGAACCCTAACCCCAGTTGCCACTGGACATTTAAATTGTGTCTAATGCAACCAAGATACTGAAGTTTTGATTATTTTTTAATTATTTAATATTTAAATTAAAAAGCTGATAGTTTCAGTTATTGAAAAATATGTATATTTTTAATAACCTAGGTATGTAAATCTACCTTTTCATCTGTAAATTGAGTAAAATCTAAATACAGATTAAATATTTCTAATGAATATTTAGCTCCTAACTTAAGATGTTCTAAAAAAAAATACACCCTGGCAAAGAAATTGGTGTAAGAAATGTAAACTGTCTCACTAACAATTTTAAATATTGATGTTACACATTGAAATATTTTGAAATATGTATTCAAATATATAAAATGTATTATTAAAACTAATTTTATGTTTATATTTCAACAGACTACTATAAAATTCAAAGTTTTATATATATATGCATGACTCATTATACTTTTATTGACAGCTCTGTTCTAGAACTCTAGCCTGATCATTTTTTAAATTCTCTTTTTTCTTTGTATGCGCTGACCACCACACAGACACTGAGTACAGACACAGCTGGTATTGAGCAGAGGGAACCTGAGGAGTTCCTGGTGCATTTCTGCTACTATACCCCTTAGGTCAGGCCCTTAGTTCCTTTTTCCTGTTTCTCACAGGCTTGATGTCTAGATAGAATGAGATGATGTACATGGAACTATTTGTCAACTGGAAAGCAGATAAGTTGTTGAACTAATGGGAGCTGATATTTACTGGTTTATTTCTAATATTCTTCATAAAATCAATTCATTCAACAATGTTTATTAGGCACTGTTTAGTGCCAGGCACTAAGCTATGGCTGAGATATAAAAGCTATATGTATATACATATATTCCTGACATTCCTGTGGAGAAGATCAGCTCTAGAAGGAGGGAAAACCCATAGGGCAGAGTGATCTATACAGTCTAATAGATGTATAAGCATAGAGGATAGATGCCTGGTTTTAGCTGGAAGTTTCAAGAAAAGCTTCACAAAAAGTCCCATACTTACATCACACTCTCTCCCTGGAGGTGATTTCCACCTGTGTGAGAAGGTGAGAGAGCTAGGTACAGATGTGAACGCATCAAGTGTCAGAGAGGTTTGGGAACTATGATTTGGTGGGACTGGAAGATAAAGCAGGAATCGAATGATACTGTGGTGAGAATTTATGATGGGGGAGGAAGAGCGGGTAGCTTGGGGTGTGGGAAAAGGGTAAGCAGGAAACAGAAGAATGGAAAGGGACAACTCAGAAAGCTCTGGATAAGCCACATATTCCATTTTTTTAGCTCTGGGTGCAACTAAAACCAAGTTTAAGATGGGACTGGATTTGGGCAAGATGACCTCTTGCCATCTGTCTGGATTAATTATGGGATTTAGCAGCTTTTATATTTTAATTTGAGTAATCTAATAGCAGTTGAATTCTGTATTCTAGCTCCAGCTGGTTTATAGCTGGCCTTCTGGGAGGCAGACAGACCAGTAGTCAGAGATTACAGTTCAGGTGTGGTCAGCAGCAGCATACAGTGAAGCTTTGTAAGGGGTCAAGGAAAGCTGGAGCAGGAGCACTGAGATGACTCCAGAAAGAGAGGTTAAGATTAGCCAGGAAAGGGCCTCCCCTGGTGGCACAGCGGTTGAGTTGCTGGGCTGCAAAGCTGGCCACAGCCTCTCTAGCGCCGGTTCGATCCCCAGACCTTCCCTGGGAGGGTCCCACATGGCGCGCAGACCTCTCCTGTCACACCCACTGCTCCTCTCAGCAGTGTATTTCATCAGTCTGCCTGTTCTGTTCCCCACTCTGTCTATGGTGAATTCTCTCACCCTCCTGTGCTTCTGACTATACCCAGTGCTTGTATAAATAAATAAATAAATCTTTAAAAAAAAAAAAAGATTAGTCAGGAAAGGCTAAGGCAAGTGGATGTGACTTGCTATAACTTAAGGGTACATGAGAACAAGGGTTGTCAAGAGGTAGGGTGCAATTGCAAAGCATTATTACTCATGTCCAGGGGGTATGAATTGTTTCTCGTGCATTGGGGAGTTTTATGTTGGGACAGGATCAGATTTGTGTTTCAGAGAGAAAATGAATGGGAAGGAGGAAAATCCAGAGCCAGAGAGACCAGTCACTTGGATAAACCAGGGAAACTTACAAAGTCCTGAAGCAAACCAATGAAAGAGACCCAGGGTCAGGAAGGATGAATTTGAGGGATGATTTGGCAGTAAATCTATGCTTAGTGATTAGGTTGAAGGCAAGAGAGATGGGAGAGAGAGGGAGAGAAGTTATGGCTGGATAACATTCAAAAGAAAGTGGGAACAACAGTTGGGGAAGGGGTACAGGAGACTGGGTGTCGCAGAAGTTAAGCAAGAGAGACTCTCTAAAGGAATCATTCGTGGTGTAGCAAACACTGCCCATAGTTTAGGTGTGCTAAAGACAATGGAGGGAAGACTGGACAATTAGCTTTGGCAACAAAATGACCCTGCTGTTATTAATGAGAATCATTTTACTGGAATGTTGGAAGCAGATGTAAATGGGGTGAATGCAGAAGGGGAGGCTGTGAGCATGTGCAATCTCTGGAAATTTGGCTGGGGATGGTCAGGGAGGGGTGAGGAAGTAGTTGGAGGGGGACATGGGATCAGGGAAGGATTTTTTAAATGGTGAAACTGGGGTCTTAAAAAAGATGATGTCAATGGAAAGAAGAATGAGAGGGTAAAATTACAAAAGAGAGACCTAAGGAGGCAGGAAAATTGGGCTAAGGGCCAATGGACACCCGCAGGAAAGTTGGTGATAATTCTTTTCAGACCAAGTCTGAAGAATCAACACAAAATCCTTTCCTTTCCTTCTGCCTCTCACCCATTTACTCTCTCTAAAGCTGCTGGTCAGCCTCTGTCTTCAACACTCATCTTCCAACCTCATCCAGCTAGGCCCCAGTGATCTCTGTCCCCGCTCCGGGATTGCCCCTTCCTAGTGGAGACGATCCAATCCTTGCCTTCTGGCGACATTGCTGGAGCATGGGCTTTATCCCAGAGTTAGCTGGACTCTGCACCCACTATCCCTCTTTAATTGTCACAACTTTTCTCCATTCCATACCCCATTCTCTACACTACCTCTAAGTCAGTGAACATGTGGGACACCTGAAATTTTCCCCCTCTGCACTCTTTTGCTCACCTTACCAACTAGCTTACCTGCCCTTACCTGCACTCGTTTTCATGGGAGGAGGGACATTCTTTTCTGCACTATTCTCACCCCTCTATCTATTTTCCTGACTCCATCTCTTCCTTCCTCCTCTTCTGAGATCTTTCTTCATCTTCTCTCACTCTTATGCCTTTAAAATATTCACTCCAGCCTACAGACACAATAAAGTCACTGGGATGGGTGGTGCCATTGACCCTCACAATGCCACCTCCAAGTTATTGCCATTCACTGTTGTTCAGATATCTTTTTTTTTAAGGATGTATTTTATTTATGCATAGAAGAAGAACTGGGGTGTAGGCCAGAGATGCAGGGAGGTGAGAGGATTCACCAGAGACAGAGTGGGGAGCAGAACAGGTGGATCTACTGAGATACACTGCTGAGGGGAACAGCTGGCAAGACAGGTTCCATCCCTGGCTGGGGATCGAACTCAAGCCACAGTGGTGATAGCATGAGAGCGCTGAAACTTGACCCCTATGCCACCAGGAAGGGCCGTCAAATATCTTCCAAAAGAAACCCATACAGTCCCTTTTTAACTCCACCCTTGCTGGTTTTTCCTGTTGATAAGGTGACCATAAGATTCATGTAGCCCTGTCATTTTTAGTCTTTTCTCTCTAGGATTTTTGCTGTCTATGCAACAGGACTGCGCCCTGTGTCTGGACCCCACCTGCCACAATGCTTCTGAGCTTTCATGCACTTATTTATCCTTCCTAAGCAATATGTGCCTTAGCCTCTCCTCCACCTCCCACTTGGATGCTATTCTTTGGAATCCTTTTTAGTCCTGATCTTCCTTGTTTTCTCACTAGCTGATCTCAGACTCTCCCATAACCGGCACATGTGAATTCCAGAGCTTTCCCTCTTGCTTCAACTTTCCCCTCAACATCACCTCTGTCATTTCAACTTTGTCCTCATCCTCAATTTTAAAGTTACATGCACCTTCAAAACTGCTTTCACAGTCACCTTCCTTTCCTAATGGTAATTAGGGCCTTCCTCTGTGTCCCCACACACCTGGGGCTATTTGCTTATTTGAGGTCAGGAACAATGTCTTGCTTATCTTTATATTCTTATTTATCAGCACTCAAAATATTTGCTGAAAAAATACATTTTCATCAAACCCAGTGTCAACAGCTAAACTCATTACCAATCCAATCTGGACTCTGCTGTGTTCTCCCTTTAAATTAATGACATTGTCACCTTTCAAGTGACAAATCTAGAGTCACTCTCTACTTTGTTCTTCATACTTCACATCTAGTTGGTCACTTGGTTTACAGATTTTCCTTCCAAATTTTATCACAAATCCCCTTTCTCTGCAACAGCTTTGCCACTAACTCCTTTGAAGCCTTCATCATATCCATTGATTTTAACTTCATTTTTCCGGTTTCCCTCTCTTCCCTTTTCAAATCTAGCTTCCACATTGCTGCCACTGTGATCTAATACCCTAATCTTACATGAAAAAAAAGTCAATGTTTTCCCATTGACTGCAGTATGAAATAGGATGACTCAAAATTGTTGTGAGTGGTTTTTGTTTTTTTAATGAAGTGTAATTGACATACAATGCTATTTTAGTTTCAGATGCATATCATGACTTGACATTTGGATGCATTGTGAAGTGATCATCACAGTAACTTTGTTTTTCATCTTCTCTTAGCAATTTTCATATTTACAATACCAAATTATTGGTTATAGTTCCCGTGCTATGTATTACATCTCCTTGATTTAATTATTTTGTAATTGGAAGTTTGTACTTCTTGATCCCTTTCACTCATTTCTGTCTCTCTCTCTCTCTCTCTCTCTCTCTCACTCACACACACACACACACACACACACACACGCACACATACAAACACACACACATATGCCCCAATCTCTCCTCCCCTTTGGTAACAACCTATCTGTTTTCTGTTTCATTGATTTTAGTTTACTTTAGCTTGTTTATTTGGTTATTTTTAGATACCACATTTAAGTGAAATGATAAGGTATTTGTCTCTGTCTATTTGACTTATTTCACTTAGCATAATATCCTCAAGGTCCATCATGCTATTGCAAATGACAAGATTTTATTGAGTAGTATTCCATTATATATGTGTACCACATCTTCTTTATCCTTTTATTCATTGATGAATAAAATTGATTATTTCCAGTGAATGATGTTTATATCCTGGGAACAACTGAGCACTTTCACATTTGGGTCTCAAATTCTTTCCACAATAACTTTTTGACTAGGTTTTGTTATCCCAATTTTACGGATGAGAAAAGTGAAACTTGAAGCATAAAAATAGCTTATCTATACAGATAGTAAGGAATACTATTTGATTTGAACCAACAGTCTCCTCATTACATCACTCTGCTTTCTACTCCTAAGCAAAACCACTCATAATATTATCCTGAATATTTTCCCATCTGCCTTCATTTCCTGCCATGCCTGCCTTTTCCCAGTTCCCCCATTAGTCCATCCATGCTTTGCTGTTTTGTTTGCTTTTTGCCCCCCTCCTTTTTCCTTTGCAACTTGTTGAGCATCTACAAATCCTTTAAGATCCTTAGATTCTACGAAGTTAACAGTTATAGCATATCTTATTATCATTATACATGTGATAGTATGTGGATTTTTATGCTTTTTAACTTCCTGAAACATTGATTTATTAGCATTTACACATATTAGTCATTTTTTTTCAGATTGTTCTTTTTTTACTTTATTTTTATATTTCCCATACAATTGTAACCCCCTTATTTTGAACCCAATCCCTCCTTTCCCCGCCCCCCACCCCCCCAGATTGTTCTTTTATTATACTGATTCTATAGGGAAGGGGATCGGATCTAGTTCATCTTTATATTTCCATAACTAAACAAAGTGCCTGGCACCTAGTAGGTGTTCCATGTATGTTTATTAAATGAATGACCATATGAATTAAATTCAATGTATGTCGAAACCAAGGGTTGAATTTTACCATGTATGTAACACATACAACTGACAATCTTTAAAATACTAAGGTAAGTTATATGAGTATAATGGCCCTGTAGTCTATGCTTTCAATGGCTCTTTTCAGTTGAATCTGGCTTGTTATATAAATATGGCACAAAAATCTAAAATAAGGGAAATGGACTACATAAGAGTAAAGCAAAATGACCTTTTGATAGACAGGTTTGCTTTATCATATATCGATGTCACAATTTAGAGTGGGGTGGAGTGAAAAAGGTTGCAAATAAATAGGTATCTTCTGTGTATATTTTGCTTGTTTATATAACTATAACAACATATTTTTATTATGTAATAATCTGTAGAAATTTAATGTTTCTTTTATCATGTTGAAATCCATTTTATCATATATAAAATCAAATGTGGGGACCTCCCCAGAGGCACAGCCAGTTGAGCTCCACCCTGTGAAGCTGTCCGTAGCCTCCGCAGCGCTGGTTCAATTCCCAGCTGGCCAGGGAGAAACCCACATGGTGTGGCAGACCTCTCCTGTCTTGCCCGCTGCTCCCCTCAGCAGTGTCTTTGGTCCATGTGACTGTTCTGCTCCCCACTCTGTCTCCGGTGAATTCTCTCACCCTCCCACGCCTCTGACCTGTATCCCATTTCTTGTATAATAAAATCTTAAAAAAAAATCAAATATGTTTCACTAAATACTATTGAGGAGGAATTTCAGGTGTTCTAACATCAAAATGTACTCTTCTCTTTCAGTTAATTAATGCCAGAGACAGATTAACATATGAGCTTGAATTTGAAAAATCATCAATGCAAGATTTGGTAAAGTGGTTTACATGATCTCCTAATTAATTTGAATTCAGAACTTTAATTTAATATGAAAATTTTATAAACTTTATTTTAACTGTTGACTGTGAACTGTTTCACCTTTATCAATAAGCTAAGTACATGCACGATTATAAATGTTTAAAAATTATAATTTTTTTTGGGCCTCCCCGGTGGCGCAGCGGTTGAGCGCTGGGTTGCAAAGCTGCCCGCAGCCTCTGCAGTGCCGGTTCAATCCCCGGCTGCTCCCCGGCCACCGGAGGAGGGTCCCACATGGTGCGCAGACCTCTCCTGCCACCCGCTGCTCCCCTCAGCAGTGTACTTCGGTCCTTCTGCCTGCTCTGCTCCCTGCTCTGGCTCTGGTGAATTCTCTCACCCTCCCGCGCTTCTGACTGTACCAAGTGCTTGTATAAACAAACAAACAAATAAATAAATAAATAAAACATGCCTCTATTTAAAAAAAAAAAAAAATAAAAAAATAAAAATTATAATTTTTAAGAAAACAATTTGAGTAGTACAATACCAAATATACTTAGTATGTAGAATAGACTTACATAAGAAATAGTGTGATCATTTTAAATCACTTTTGAATTTTATTATGGAGATTAAAAAACATGAAAGCCCAATATTTTTAAGAATTTGCTATTTTTAGTTACAAATTGGCATGTGACAACAACAACAAAAAAAGAGCCCAGCTAGATATTTTGGCATTCTGTGTTAGTCTCATAAGAAAACACTGCCTTTTTATGTTCTTTTAAGAGAACTTTCCAGACGGCTGGTCTTTTATTTTATCAGTTGACTACCCCCCCCTACTTCACCCCCCAGCCAGCTTATGGTGGTGTACTTCGGCTTTCAAATGATCACCACTAGTATGTCTTTGTTACAGTAAACTGACTGTGTTTATTATAATCAAAAATAAAACACAGCTTGACTTGCGTTCTAAATGTGCTTGAAAAGAATATGATACTGTTTAGAAGAGAAAAGGTTGTTCATAGGAAATCCACACCACTTCAGATATTGAAACATTCTCTTTTTTACAGCTTGTCACACTTGGTGCCAAGTCATGACTGTTCCCCTAACTCTGTTTTGTTACTCTCAGCACCATGTGTTTTGGGTTCCTTGTCATAGAAATTAATGCAAAACAATGCTCCTGGACTACAATAAAGCCTTCTATGAAGCCAACTGGGGGATGCCGGCAAAGAGAACAATTATGGTCAGCTATTCACAGAAGCCATGTGTTAACAAATATGTTACTTTGAACCCTTTACTTTTAAATACCTGGCACATAAAAATTGTCTCCATTTTTTGAGCATAGTTTGTCGATTTCTTCCACTCCCACCCTCTTCTATCACTCCTCCAAAGTCCAGGAGTTGCTTTTGAAAACAGACAACTAAATGTGCATATGGTCATTAATGTGGACAGTGATTTTAAAGAGTGGGAAGCAAACGTTATCTTGTCGGTTTGTTCTCAACACTGAAGAAGAAATTAAACCACTCATCAGTTTGGGTCTATACTATGACCAGACACACCCATGGGCTTTGAATTGCTTTGCCTTTTTATTTGAACTCAGTTAACCAGCGCTACTGTATTGCCCATGGGGGAACCAATCATGTTTTATTTTGTCTAGAAGTTTGTTGTTGCTAGGCAGCAAGATCTTGCATCACAAATCCCACAACAGCACAAGTCTTCAGCATGCTTAGAAGTCATTTTCAGGCCCACGTTTTCAGTAGTGTGTGTTCAAGGTACTTCCTGTGACCAGGGTTTCCATGGGGTGCCTTTGAGCCCAGAGGTTACTATTTGTCACCCCTTCTCCTCGCCCAAGGTAATCTGTTATTAAGTACAAAAGAGGTTGGCTTTGTGATTATTTGTGCCTCTTTTGTTTCTTGCATTTTTCCAGAACCAATAATCTTTAATTGTACCTAGATGGAGGAGTGGATTGAGTGGAGTTGACCAGAGACTTTTTTTTAAAGATTTTAAAAGTTTTTCATGGGAGGGTTTTTGTTCCATGCTTGTCTATTACTATTTCCCTGGATGATTTCTTTTCTGGCCTCTTAAAAGGCTAGTTTAAAAAAGAAAAGAGCTGGTGATAAAAAGGCACTGTCAATAAATATAGGTAAGCAATGAGTCGTCCAGAGATTATATCCTTAGATCTAATCTAATCTAAATTTTTTGTATCTTCCTGTGATTTCCTTTGCTTACTGATCTTCATTTATCTGCTTTTGACTTGTAACATTGTATTAGTTTTAGGGATACAAATAATTATTTTATATATGTATATATTGCAAAAACACCACCACAATAAATTTAGTTCTATCCAAACATATATACTTACAAATTTTCTTATGATGAGAACTTTTAAGATCTACCGCTATTAGCAACTTATGAATATGTAGTATAGCATTGTTTACTATAGTTACCATGCTGTACATTGTATTCCCAGGATTTACTATTTTATCACTGGGAGTTCATATCTCTTGACACCACCCCCCCCCACGTTGCCCATTTTAACCCACCTCCCCACCTTCAATTCTGGGAACCAGCAATCTGTTCTCAGTATCTGTGAGCTTCGTTCTCCTGTTATTTTTTGTTTTGTTTGTTATTTAGATTCTACATGTAAGTGACATAATATGGTATTTGTCTTTCTGTGTCTTATTTCACTAGTGTGATGCTCTCAAGTCCCATATATATTGTCAAAAATGGCAATACTTTACTCTTTTTATGACCAAATAGTATTCTGGGGAGCATGTGTGTGCACGCCCATATCTCACACTTTCTTTATCCATTCATCCATTGATGGATGATTAGGTTGCTTAATTTTCTTGGTTACTATGAGTAATATTTCAGTGAACGGGGGTGGGGGAAGAATTAGGGTCAAAATAAGGGGGGTAGTAATTGTATGGGGAATATAACCAAGATGAAAATACATACATTGTGCAAAAATGAAAAATGATGTAAAAATATATGAAATGAAAAATAATAAAAAATAAAAAAATATTTCAGTGAATAAGGAGGTGCAGATATTTTTGAGTTAGTGCTTTCATTTCCTTTGAATATATTCCCAGAATTAAATTGCTGGATCATATAGTAATTCTACTTTTCATTTTTTGAAGAACTTCCATACTGTTTTCTATAATGGTTGCACCTACTTAGATTTGCACCAACAGTGCACAGGGTTCCCTTTTCTCCTCATGCTTTGCTGTTGCTGGTTATCCCTTGTCCTTTTCATGTGTTTTTAAGGAAAAAAATTAGCTAACAAAAAATATAACAAGTTTCCCTTAGCAAAATACACCCAAAAGAAAATTATAGTACAAAAAGTTTTTGTGTGTGTGTTTTTTATTATTTTTTAAAGATTGATTTATTTATGCATGCAAGAAGTAGGGTACAGGCCAGAGGTACAGAAGGTGAAAGGATTCACCACAGAGTGGGGAACAGAACAGGCAGACTGACTGAAATACACTGCTGAGGGGATCAGTGGGTGAGACAAGAGAGGTCTGCTGCACCATGTGGGTAGCTCCCTGGCTGGACAGGGATCGAAATCATGTTGCAGAGGCTGTGGATAGCTTCATAGTGCGGTGCTTAAACCCTTGCGCCACCCATGTGTATTTTTAATATAATTTATTTATATATATTTTATATCATTGTTCATTTTTGTACAATGTTTGCATTCTCCTCTGAGGTGTAGTCCCCATAGAATTCCCACCACCAGTTTACCTGTGCACTATGGCCATAGTCACTTGTGCTCTTCCCTCCCCTGATTTGATCCCTCTCCCATCCCCTACCCCCACAGAATGTCTCTGATTTATGGTTGCCTGTTAATTTTATTTTTTAATTATTATTATTTTCTCCTGATCCCTTATTTGGTTTCCCTATATTCCTCCTATAAGTGAAACCATCTGATATTTCCCTTTTTCCTTCTGACTTATTTCACTGAGCATAATCCCTTCTAGCTCCATCCATGTTGCTGCAAATGGCATGAGTTTATCTTTTTTGATCGCTAAATAGTATTCCATTGTGTTTGAAGATTACAATACAAAGAAAGTTTTAAGTGAAGTCCTCATCAATTCCTATAGTGTTACTATTGTAACTCAATTTTCAAACAGTTAACTTATCTCTTGTGTTTTTGATAATAGCCTTTCTAACTGTTGTGAGATCATATTTGATGATGATTAGTGATTTCCCTGATGATGATTAGTGATTTCCCTGATGATTAATAATGTTGAGCATCTCTTAATGTACCTGTTGCCTTTTGAATGTCTTCTTTGAAAAAAAAGGTCTATTCAGAATTTCTGTATAGACTTTTAATTGAGTTTTTTGGGTTTTTTTTTTTTGTTTTGCTACTGAGTTGTACAGGTTTTTGTATATTTTTAGATATCAGATACATGATTTGCAATATTTTCTCTTACTTCATAAGTTGCCCTTTCATTCTTTTGTTTGTTGTGCAGAAGTTTCTAGTTTGATGTAGTTCTCTTGTTTATTTTTTATTTTGTTGTTTGTGCCTCAGTCATTATATTAAAAAAAAATTGCCAAGACCCATATCAAGAATCTTTTTTCCTATGTTTTCTTTTGGGAATTTTATGGTCTAATGTCATACATTTAGGTCTTTCAATCATTTTGAGTTAATTTTTGTTAGCAATATAAGATAGAGGTGTTATTTCATTATTTTACAAGTGAATATCCCATTTTAAGAGCTATTTATTGTAGTGATTATATTTTATCCATAGAGTATTCTTGACTCTTTCATCAAAAATCAGCTGACTGTGGGCGTCCCTGGTGGCGCAAGGGGTTAAGATGCAACCTATGAAGCTGTGTGCAGCCACTGAAGCACAAGTTTGATCCCCGACCAGAGAAATACCCACATGGCACAGCAGACCTCTCCTGACTCACCCGCTTATCCCCTCAGCAGTGTATTTCAGTTAGTTTGCCTGTTCTGTTCCCCACTGTCTCTGGTGAATCCTCTCACCCTCCCACACACACACCTCTGGCCTATACCCCAGTTCTTGTATGCATAAATAAGTAAATCTTTAAAAAAAAATAAAAGTAAAGCAATATACAAATGCTAATGACTAAATATTCATACTTTTATATAATTCATTATTTTAAGTGCTTTTCTGTATGTAAATTTATTTTCTAATTCATATTCAATATTATGTCTTATTTCCATAAGCATTTGGCAGTCAAATAGTTAAAAATGTTTCTCTTTTTATTGCTTAACGAAATTTTATAGAGATTTTTCCTCTTTAATTTGCAAATGAAAACAAAAGATATGGGCCTTCAATTTCACAGGTTGGTAAACAGAAAGAGGACTTAGAAACAAGAAGAGCGTTTGACAGCCTAATCATTAAGGTTTGTATTTAGGTTTTTATTTTTTGTGCTTCTCTTAGTTTGGCTTCTAAGTTGAAGAATCTATACATACTATTCCAAGACTTTTTACTTTCCAACATTTAAGTTTGATGGAGAACATGCTTAAAAGTGGGGCAAAAAGAATTACAGAGAGAGCAACAGATTGACGGTTGAAACAGAGAGGAGGGTCAAGTGTCTAAATATTGATAGATGAGGAAACAGACCTGGTGTGAGGAAAGGGATCCCATATCATCCTGGTATGCAGATTTTAAGTTTCAGTGTCCAGGGGGATTGTGGAGCTAAGAGTTAGAGCAGAGTCCATGCCCTTTAGGACTAAAAATTTCAACCCTGTGATTCCAACTTAGTTAGAGCAGGGAAGAAAAATAAGAGACTGGAATCTGAAGCAAACAAGAATAACCAAACTGATTCTTTCTGTGTGCCAGTCTCAGAAATTATCCAAGGGGGAAGAAACTTCTTGGTCCCCAATGTTCTCAGTAACCAAGATGGCATCCAAGGGTGAAGACATTTCAGGACGAGCTTCCATCACCACCCCTGCTGTCACCACCCCTGCCGTCACCACTCCAGCCGTCACCACTCCAGCCATCACCACTCCAGCCATCACCACTCTAGCCATCACCACTCCAGCCATCACCACTCCAGCCATCACCACTCCAGCCATCACCATTCCAGCCATCACCATTCCAGCCATCACCATGCCAGCCATCACCACTCCGGCCATCACCACTCCAGCCATCACCACTCCTGCCATCACCACTCCTGCCATCACCACTCCTGCCAGCACCACTCCTGCCATCACCACTCCGGCAATCACCAGTTCTGCCGTCACCACTCCCGCCGTCACCATTTCTGCCATCACTTCGCCAGTGTTCATTAAGACCAAAAGAGTTAGGACTCCGAAGAAGCGGTTACAAAGGCAAGAGCAGCGACTTGTGGTAAGAACTGTTCAAATGATCACACTTGGTGACACCTTCACCTATGTAATGGTCACTCCCCACCCCCCACCCCAGCATGTTGGACAACAGCATGCTTCTCACACCTGGTGTCAAGGCTGGCATGCTCACACCTGATTCCCCTACTGCCTATATGTGCACTTGGGCAGGGGGCTCTCGCTACTCTTCTCTGCACTCAAGTGTCCTTGTTAGATCCCTGAGCTTCCCTGAGAGGAAGCCACCATTATCGCCAGCTTGGTATTTTATTTAGTTTAGTCATTATACCATGGTCGATCTCTTTTAATTCACGAGGTAGAGAAGCCACATCCCAAGTACTTTCTAGGGTATATAATCTCTAACTCATTACTGCCCATATGTATCAGAAGCTTTCAGAAGATTCCCTGATAGACCTGCAGATACAGTCTGATTGCTCATGTAGTATTCTAAATCAACAGCTGTATTAAACCACACGATCAGAGAGACACATGCATGGATTATATGCATGCATTGCTCTTCTCATCCACCTTCCACCAAATAATCAACATTGTTTTTACTGGCCCAACAGCAATACCATTGGTTATATAAAAGGCACGTTAAGGAGTAGCTCTGTGATGGCCACTTCTATGTTGCCTTATTGTGTGGACAAGACTGAGGGACTCTGCTCGATGCACCAAGCCACATGCCTCTGTATGATCCACCTATCAGGGAACTTTCTTCTGCTCTTAGCATGGGAATAGTTGTATTTGTTTGACTTGTATTGATCTATCCTCTGGGCTCTGTAAATTGTGTAACTAGTCAAAGCTCCTTTTCCCAGTTGACTTTTAGAAAGCTTGGAAGTCAATTGGTGACATATATAACCAATGTACAGCACTCAACGAAAGAGTTTTTCCACTTGTACGTTTTGATTTACTTTTTGGATCATTTCTACATGTTCCATGTCCTTCCTCCTTCTCTCACAGAGGCAGAATCTGTCTCTAACATTTAGATAGGGCAGAACAGGAGGCTCATGCTCCCTGACTCATCCTTGCTCCAAATGAGGGCAAGGTAAGGTCTAAGCTTCTCATGCCAACTCACCAGGAAAGTAACTCAGTGTTCATACCCAGCAAGGGATAAGGAGCAGGTGGATCGAAGACAGAGAGTTATACTAAGGGAAGTCACTCTATCTGGGAAGAAATTCCAGGAATTGGGAACAAGCAATCTCCTCTAGAAGCATTTTACTTTGCAGGAAGTTAGGAAGCATAGACAACTGGAAGCCAATGTAATTTTCCAAGGAGAACAAAGTTGTTTTTTTTTTTTATCCCACAAAAAGCAAAACAAAACACCCCCTGACCTGAGGGTGCACTGCTGCATGTTGACCCTGGTCATACTGGGAAGGGAGCTCTAGTCTAAGTCTGTGCTCAGGGAGCCTGTGGTCATCAAAGAGTCCTGTTCCACACAGCTCCATCAACGACCATGAAATCAGTGTCCCAGGGGTCTGTGGTCTGAGGCTCTGAGATGATGGTCTGGGAGACTGCAAAGCAGAATCAGTAACTGGGACAGAAAAACAGTCTCCAATCCTATGACAGCAGGAGTAACGGGAATGCCCCAGTCTTTACAGCAAGCCCAGTGCTACAACTAAATCCTAGAATTTCAGGTTAGAAACCCCAGCTTACAGATCAAAATTGAATTTCCTAAGTCATTGTCATAAGGGACATGGAAAATGTACAATAAAGGAGAAACAAAGGCAGACAATATCTCTGAGAGGTATTGTGTCCGTAGGATTTTCACTTAGTGTTACAGTCTTTAAAGTCAAGCCATTATGCTTGCTATCTTGATGTCTCTGAAACTTAGCAGTGCATTTTGGCAGCTCTGGAGACTCTGAAGTTAATGTGTAACGAGGAAAAATTGAACTGGGGAAGACATAGATGACATATGTGGGTATTTGCATCTTTATATGATTTGGCTTGACTTTAAAGTGAAATATATTTTTCTAGGTCACTGTTATTACTGTTGCGTTGATAACAATCCTATTATTTATAAGTTTTCCCTTATTCACTTTCCCATGTGGTATATTCTGATATATTCTTTACTGTAGATTAACTCTGTGTGTGTGTGTATGGTTATACTCTCCTGTTCTCTCTTTTAAATAATGTATTGAAGTAACCATGTCTCAAAAAATTGTCTTTAAAAGGTATTATAATATTAACCACGTGTAAATGACCACACGGAGAGCTTGTTGCAGGAACTTTTTACATCAGTCAGTTAACTTATCTAATTAATCATACTTATTTTTTGAAATCTGTGTCATTCTGTGGGAACAACACACATGCTTCGCACAGTGAAGTACACAGTGATAAAGCCGTGTTTAGCCAGTACCGAAAACCTGATATGAACATTGCTGTCTGATTTCCATTTATGAAAGATTTCACAACATAAAATTTGTATTTGTACAGTCTTTTCTGTAACATTTATTTTTAGATATCTGTAAGACATTTCATACTGAGGTTTCACAGAACAAGTTTAAATTAGATTCCTGAGGTTTTTGGTTCTTGCTTCCCAGGGTAATTAGTTCATTAAGGTTGTACCCAGAAAATGGCTCCCTGGAAGACTTTCACAGGGTGACCTGGTCTGTGCTGATGGAACATATGGTCGGTGCGCAGATCTGCAGAAAGCATCTGGGTCCTTCCATGCAGGAAAGGGAACATGGGACAATGTCAGTCCTGCTCCCATTCTTAAAGTTCATTCAATACAAAGCAATATGCACAGCATAAAAGAATTCAATAAAAACTCTGGACTTTATTCAAGAGTTGCTTGCTAGGTGAAATATTTTTGTAATAGTTTTGCAATCATGACCATATCACCCTGCAAAAGAGTGATTTCTTTTTAAAAATGATTGTTATAAGGTATAAAATTTTTATTACAGATGTGTAGTACTATAGGATAAGGGGACAAAGGAAATATCTTTCCTTTAGGAATTTACCATTGCTCTTCTATGCCACCCTTCATGTGATCAAATTGTGTGTGGGGTTTAAAACAAACTCCACTGAAGAAGAAAGTACTTTAATGTGCTCATTGTTTCATTATTTCACTCTTTCACCTTGGCTTGACTTGATAAAGCAGGCAGTTAATAGATCTGCAGAGCTATGTGGGAAACCAGCATTTTGCTTCCTTGAGTAGTCACAGGAGGTGGTGGAATAATATAGAGTTAGGACAATCCTGGACACGTGTCTGGTCCTCAGAGGTTGTCAAAGGATATTTACTATATTTTGGTAGATTATGTTGACACAAAAGAATTTTCCTTATCATGTTGCTCCTTTATTCTTTAGATGACTAACTTTAAGATGTAGAAGTAATGGATAGCATGCAATATAGTTGTTTTATTTTAAACTGGAAATTTTAATTTTCCACAAAAATTAATTCATTTTTAGATCCTGTTCTCACAGAGAACAAAATTACAAATCTGAGCAATAGCATATTTAGAATCCAGTGGAAAGATGGTGTTCTACTTTCTACATTAATTATTATTATATAACTATATATAAATAATATTAATATTATAAATATTTGATGAGTATTAAATACTCATAGATTAATTTGATAAATAGGCTAATTAGGTTAGATAAGTTAGATGCTCATTATTAGATAAATCAGACAAATTTCTGATTTGTAGTAATTTGGGATTGAAAATATTTTAGTGAAAATATTCAGATTTTGTTGCACAAATGAAAAATGTTACTTGTTAAAAAATGGAGGCTTTTATTTTTGTAATATATATTTTTATGTTGTTTATATAAATGTATATGTTACACTATATGTCAATTTTTTTATCTTGCTTATTTTGTAGAGTTTATAATATTTTAATATAATTTAACTTAAGAATCTTAAGATATTGCTGTGGAAATTGGGAAAAGATAAGTTTGAGGTTTTTTGTGTGGTTTTTTTTTTTAGAATTTTATTTTATTTATTTTTTATTTTTTTAAAGATTTATTTATACAAGCAGTGGGTACAGTCAGAAGCGCTGGAGGGTGAGAGAATTCACCAGAGCCAGAGAGGGGAACAGAACAGGCAGACCGATGAAGTACACTGCTGAGGGGAGCAGCAGGTAGCAGGAGAGGTCTGCGCACCATGTGGGACCCTCACCCGGTGGCCGGGGATCGAACCCATGCTGGAAAGGCTGCAGGCAGCTTTGCAACCCAGCGCTCAACCACTGCGCCACCGGGGAGGCCCAAGTTTGAGTTTTGTACCACTTTCTATTATTGCTGGCCACACTCAATTGTGGGGCAAATCCTAGCTCCTTGTTGGTAAAAGAAGTGTCACTCTTGACTTCCAGGCGCCCACAGGGCACCCATCTTACTCCTTACTGCATGGCACTTACTCCATTTCTGGGTGTTGTCCTGTGACTTTCTCTCCAGTTCCCACTGGGAGTTGAGGATCGTTTTGAACACCAGCTCATTTGGCCAGAGTTCTCACTCTGCACAGATATGGGTCCCACCCCCAGAAAACTGAATATTTGGCATCCTGTTATTCATCATACCTGCCACTACTGCATATACCAGTTCTGCTACGTGGTACTATGAATTCTGTCACAGGACACCTTACTATAGAACTGCTTCAATACCATCGTGCAAGACCAGAATTTAGCCTGAAGCAGCTACATTGCTTTGGGCACTGGTGGTGTTCTTGGTTACCCCCTTTAGATCCAGATTTGCCAACTTGTCAGTTTCTCCAGCCTTGATCTCTCCAGGTCTCGGCATTCTCCTCAAATCCCAGGGATAAATTTATATAAGTTACAACATATGTCAATTTGTTTTTCTTCATGAATGTATTTTCATGGAAGCTGGTAATCTTTTCTTCATTTAATACTCCTTTCCTTTCTTTTCCTCTATGTAGTCTCTGCTTGTTCGTCACAATACTGAACCTTTAAAGAAAGATTTTTGTGCCTCTTTTTTATTCATCGATTACATCTTGCTCCTAACTTACATATCTGATCAACCTTCAATAATCAGTGATAACTCACTGCTCTGTTTTAATACCTGTGAAATCCAAGGAGTTCTTAAATTTTGTTAGCCTATGCAACTTTGTTTAGAAATAAAGGCATCCTTTCATTTAGGCTTTTTAAAAATCTTGAAAATAGGTTGAGGATCTTCTTCACCAATATTTTTGTCTCTTTATTTAAGTTATAGTTTGTTTTGCTGTGCAGAAGATTTTTAGTTTAATGTGTCCTGTTTGTTTATATTTTTTTTCTCTTGCTGTTACCAATTATATACCTGACTTTCTACAGTGAGCATAAAGTCTAGGATGATCCAGAGTCAGGTGTAAAGTGGTCAAGTGAACACATACTTGTGTGTGTGTGTGTGTGTGTGTGTGTGTATAAAATATATATATATTCATATATATATGAAAATATATATATACACAAATAAAAAATTGTAATGAATTACTGACAGGAGAAAGAAAAAGGATACTATAAGCAATATGGCTAATCTTCTGTCATAATAAACTTTGGCTGTTAATTCTTAAGTTAGAAGGTTATCCTTATTAAATATTTTTTAACATTGTAAGTGTTAAAAATGGAAAACATTTAGGAATCATAACTTTTGTTTAAATGAGCCTTACTTCCTAATTATATATTTTTAGTTATATGTACTAATTCAAAAGAGAAATATCTGTAATAGATTATTTCTAACAGTAATTTTTATTATCTTTGTAACTATTTAATTTCCATGCTCCTATTTAGGAAGCTATCTACTTTATATTAATATTACCATTTATTTCACCTCTATCTATTGTTTAGCAGTCTAATGTTTGCACCTGTCAATGAAGTAGCCACATAAAGACCAGCATGCATATTCCAGAGAAAATGGAATGTCAGCAGCTGACAAAACAAAATGACAGTTTAATGCAGACAGAGTCAGAATTCAATATAAACGTGCTATAATAAAGTTGAAAGTTCAACTCAAACTGGAAAGCAAACACTCCATTCTACATGCTTTTTTTTTAAATTAAAATAGAAGCTATCTTCATCAATATAAGAATATTGTCTTTTGGAGAGATTGAATAATTATTTGCTTTACAGAAGATATGCTCTAGCACATTCTTATCTTTAGTTATTACAGAGTTGATCATTATATGAGAGTTGGAAAAAGGGAGCCTTGAAAATTGGAACTAATTTTTATTGTATGTGAGTTTAAATGTGTCTTTTTTTTAAAATAAACTGTGTTATAGATGTGACTTTGGATATAGTGAAATAAATAAACACAAATGCTTTTCTACATAGAAACTACCTGGCTTTGTAAACTGCAAAAATCACACATCTTTATACATTGATTTGAAATGATAATAATCATTTTATTCTCTTGCCAGGGAAGCTATAGAAGCCCCGTTCCGATGAAAGAAGAAAAGAGTGTATATATATCAGTACCTCAGGTACAAATATTACTGATAGAATCATTATTACTAACCTAACTATTGTTTCTATTGATGCTGTCTATTCTTAGAAAATAGTAATGGTTTTGACAGTTGTATGGAGAATCAGTCTTACAAAGATTCAGATGACCTGAATATATATCTCTGCTGCAACCAAAGACATTCTTCATTCATGACATTGCAGTAACTCCACAGCTTTTGTTAAACTTTGTCCCCTTATAATAATATATAAACAGTGCATAGAAATGGCATAAAGCTTTAGAGTGATTGAGTTGGTCAGATATTTTCCTGAGAACTTTTGATAAAGGGAAATAAAATAACTGGGGGCCACTTCCACCTATGATGAAGAACGGGAGCAGCCACAATACCTAAGGAAAATGCTTTATGAAAAAGGATCCCAGGTAGGAGGAGGGGTGATGATGATAAATTGTGGTTGCTTCGTAGCTTTGTCTTGATTTGACTCCCTTTAATGAATTAGGAAATGGCGTCATGGGACTTAAATTCTTTCAGTTTCTGAGAATTTCCAAATAAACTTATTTCCCTCAAGTTATTATTGATAGTAGCTAAGATTTGCATGCTCTTTAATGTAAATAGCTTTTCAGATTTATGAAGACGTGGAGCACATTTTTCATGTAATTAACTTTGTGATGTATTTTCTATTGAAAGCCTGAAGAACACAGTGATTTGAAGAAGCAAATAGAAACATTAAAAGATAAGTTAGATACTGAGAAAAAAAAGGCAGAAAGGTATGTTAATAAGGATTCATCATTATTCATTTGTAGCTACTACAGTATTTAACTATTTGTAAATGTATTACAGGTTTAGGAAGGAATCAGAACGAATTAACAAACTCTGGGAAAGGAAATTCTATATTCTCAGGAACAGGTATAGTGTGTTGATTATATAAATTCTATTTATAAAAATGTGACTAATCATCTTCTAAGGAAATTGGTTGTCCTGCATTTTCTTTACATATTAATATAAAATACCCTCATATACTTTTAACAAGAAATGTAAAATAATTGATAGCATACATGAGTCTCTTAAAAGAAAAAAAATAATACAAAACTGTTTCTCCTCTTATTGTAAAGTTATAACCGTAAAGGATCACTTGGTGCCTGATTTGGTCAGATCTGCATCAATATCTTCCTCCATAGGGCTGTGAAAATGTTTCCCTATCATTTGCACAGGATAATATTTAACAGGTCTCTATCTTTGCAAAATTGTTTTATATGCTCTAGCCTCTACCTTTTCCTAGACAAAACAGCACCTTAATTCTCAGATCCATTTTTCACTCAGATATCATTTTATTTTCTCTTCTCTATGTCATTTTTCTCCTTTTAAAAGTGAAGAAGGTGACCTTATGATATTCTGAAAAAGCTGAAAGTGATGCCAAGAGAGTAAATGCCTTTCTTATTTGTCCTGACATGTTAACAGTAAAAATCTATATGCTCTTCTCTTGTTTCCTGCCACAATTGCCCCACCCCCAAGATTCTCTTCTTTGTCACATGTTGGAAATTCCTTTACAAGAATCTCTCACAATCAAGCATCAGTCAAGACATGATGGATTCCATGTTGATCTGAAGTCATAGGTCAAGTGTAAAGCTCATACATAATTTCATGGGATGTCCTACATTTGCACTGCATTTCAAATTGCATAATGTGTGTGTAAAACTCTATATACATTGCTGTCCCTGGTGGCATATGAAGAATTCAGATAACAGAAACATCACCAGATGGTGATCTCAACTCCTGGTGTAAAATGTTCTGCTTTGCACTTCTGTTGTGTTCATTTGTAACATGGATTTTGGATTATCTCTGAAACAGAATAGACTGTCTTTTCTTATTTTTTAAGCTTCATTTTAATCCTTATGATTTATTTTGTGTATGTCCCTGTACTTCAAGAATCATTTACAAGAGTTTCTCAGTTTTACTTTAAGTTGATTTGCTGTAAATCAAGACACTGACACCATAATCATCATTTTGGTCTCTGCAGACTTTATATTGATATCTAAATATTGAGGACAGCAGAAAGTATTATTCTTCTGTGTATATATACACTCCTGTGTATTTGTTTCTTATTTAATCTTACTAACAGACTAACTGGGACACAATGTCAGGACACAATGTGTTATATGTCTCTGCTTCAGTTGCATCACCAAGTATTAATTCAAGGCAATGTATGCAACAACAGAGTGTATATATCCAGATACTGCATCATGATAAAGTATGAAGATTAATTATATAGTTGAAGACTTGTGTGCTTAAAGTAATTTCATTGTACTGTAATTGATCTTAGGCTAGGAGCACTCATTTTTGTTTAGTAGAGAAAACAGCTTCACCTTTGCCAGGCAAGATAATAGATGATTCCAATAATTTCTCAACCAATTCATTATTGATATTCAGTCCCAACCCAATTAAGAGCTTCATTTCCAAGCTCCTTTTCCATTTCTGCTGAGTTGGCCCTAGTTCCAGGAAGACTGAAAATAAGAAATGCTAAAAAGAGCAGAGACCAGCCCTTCCTTTTAGTATGGCATGCCTGGCACAGCTGCTGATGTCATCATTGTCATTTCTCAGGACACAAATGGCGCAAAGGTTTAGGACATCACCTCAGCAATAGATTGCTACATGGTTGATCTCACAATGATGCAGCAACTCCCAACTCAACCCCAAAAATTGGTCCACATGTACCTATCTGAGCCTTGTTCTTGTGAGCTCTTAGTGTTCTCCTGAGGGTGACAGGACTCACTTTTGCCCATCACACATCCCAATTCATAGACAATAAATTGCCCTCTCTCAACCTCTCTCTCCACCCCCTCTTGCTCACTCAGCTCATATTGTTGCAGTTTTGATGGTATAATAGTCTCAAATATCTTGTGGGTCTCCCATGTATGTCATTGGGAGTCACTTCATTATACAGGAAGCTCCTCTGTAAGTCTTTCTTAGTTAATCCAATCTCTACTTTGAACTTATGCTGAGATGATTGATAAGGTCCAGGAGTCACACACATAATTTCTTCAAAGAGGTTCCCTGTGACTTGCTATTTGGTTCTCATATTGTTCATTCCTAGTTGTTAACTAAAGGTTGTCCATATATTTTACTGTCTCTCCAAAGCATGCTTTCTTAATAGTGAGTTGCATCATTTGCAATAGCTTCATTTGCAATCTGAATAGACTAAGAATTTCCTGAAGTTTTAGTATATTTGTTCTATTTAATTTATCATATTATTTATTTTGATACTTAATTTCATTTTTTAATTAATTTATTTTCAACTTAGGTAACATTGAGTCAACAGCAGCCCTTTCAAGTTGACTGCTACGTTCTTTTGATGTCATCTTTGATGACTCATTTGACAAAATGTCCAGGGTCATCTTTTACATGTATTGTTAGACCTAAAAATAGCTATTTCTGAAAGATGCCCCTCCTTCATTTTATGGAGAAATATTTGTAAAACCATAATCTGGACCCTGCAGTTGCTCACTGATACTGTGTTGCCACTTATTCTCTGCCATTTAAGGGCTGAAAAATACATAAACTTTAAATGAAAGAAATAATACTAATATTTAAAAATTTTACTAGTGTACAACTCTTTTCTCCTATATGAAAATTCTAGCTCCTATGGATATATTGATTTGCTTTTGTTATGATCACTATAGATTTAATTTTACTTCTTTTATCTATTTCAGCTTTTATGTTCTTAAAAATGAGATGTTTACTAGGCACACATTGTACCGCCAGTTTGCAATACTTGCTGAGACATCCTTCAATTATCCTGTAAGTACAATAGTATTCGAATGCTTTTTGTCTATTTGATAATATCTGTACCTGTCTTTGCGAACTACTTGGGGGAGTCTTAGTTGAGGTTGTATTTGACCCTCACTGTGGTTATAGCCTTTTGATCCAAGGGTTACAATGTGACAAACTTGTTCAACTACACACCTTAGGTGAGCCATGGGTTCCTGAATCATAGGAACCTTTCACAACTCCTGCTTTCATTCATTAAGTTTAACAAAAGCCTTCAAGGTAAATGGTAGTTCCAAGATGGAAATCCTAGGTTTCCATCTTCTCTTAGTCTTAGGCCTGAGCATTCTTGATTTTTTTCATCAACTATGGCTACTTTTAAAATATATAAGAAGTAAAATTCTTTTTTATTTAATTTTTATTTTAGTTTTTGGGATTACATTTTTCACTTTTTGTGTGTGTGCATAAATTCCACTTACTCTCCACCAAAAGAATTGTTCAGCATCACTTATTGTAAGAGAAGTAGAAATCAAAACCATAATGAGATATTACCTCACCCCTGGGAGAATGGAATTCTTATTTGGATACAAAGTCTGCTCTTATATTTTATTCACTAGCAATCTGTTCCTATCATATCCATAATTCCTTTGTATTTTATCTCATCCTCTTCTTTTCTAAAGACTTGACTATATTTCTTATATTAATATATATATAAATGAGGCCTCACTGGTGGCACAAGGGGTTAAGCACAGCACTGTGAAGCTACCCCTAGCCTCTACAGCATGAGTTTGACCCCCCCCCTCCCCCGCCCCGCTGGCCAAGGAGGTGACCCACATGGGGCGGGGCGGCAGACCTCCCCTGTCTCACCTGCTGCTCTCCTCAGCAGTGTATTTCAGTCAGTCTGCTAAATGCTCCCTACTCTGTTTCTGGTGTATCCTCTCACCTCCCATACCTCTGGTCTGTACCCCAGTTCTTGTATGCATACATAAATAAATCTTTTTAAATACATATATATATATATATTTATATATAATATTCCATTGTTGGGGCAAAACAATGTTTTCATCTAGATCTCATAGTAGATCATTTTTAAAAGTATGTATTTCCTCTTATATCAGGATGCTTTTTGTTTAACTGATTCTACAGGGTTTTGTTTTTTTTTAATAGCCCTATTTTATTGACTCTTTTCTCAACTTTGACAGATAAGATCTGTGAAGCCCAGTATTGCAACTACACTCTTTTGTGTACTGCCCAATCTCCTTTGCAAGTTTATAGTAGGAAAGCAGGTTGATGTGACCCTAATTTTTCAGTCCTGCCATAAAGGTGGCATTTTCTCCTATGCCCACTGCTTGAAGTTATAAAGCAATGGAGTGCAATTAAACTTAAATTCCCAGCATTCATACATATAACACTGGGTTCTTTTACCATTTTCATAAAAGATTTTAAGGTGGTAAAGAGAGAGCCATATGGGTATCTAAGAGGAGAATTTTTCTGGTCAGGAAAGGCCCATTGAAAAGCTGTAAGGTAGAAGCGTACCTGGCTTGTTTGAGAAACAAGGTATCCAGTGTGGCTAGAGCAAAGTAAAGAGAGAAAATAGTAATAAATGTAGTCAAGGGAAATATAGGAGTATGACTTATTTTACCAAGTAAAACTGGGAGCCTTTGAGAATTTTGAAAAGACCAGTAAGATAACCTCACTTACTTTTTTTTTTTTTTAAAGATTTATTTATTTATTTATTTATACAGGCACTGGGTATAGTCAGAAGCGCAGGAGGGTGAGAGAACTCACCAGAGCCAGAGCAGGGCACAGAACAGGCAGACTGACGAAATACACTGCTGAGGGGAGCAGTGGGTGTGGCAGGAGAGGTCTGTGTGCTATGTGGGACCCTTGCCAGGGTCTGGGGATTGAACCGTTGCTGCAGAGGCTGCAAGCAGCTTCGCAACCCAGCGCTGAACCGCTGCGCCACCGGGGAGGCCCTCACTTACTATTTTAAAGGGACATGTCTGGAGCAGCTGTAAAGGGCAGGAGCTGGGGAAAGAAACAGGTTAGAGAGCTATTGAAATTGCTGGTGAGAGATGGTGGTGTAGCTTGAACCACTTTGAGCAAAGTAGGAAAGAAACATGCCTGAACACTACATAGCATGATGTACTTTGCAGTGCTAGCTTTTTTTAAAAGAAGATTTATTTTATACAAGAATTGGGGTATAGGCCAGATATATGGGGAGTGAGGGGATTCACCAGAGACAGAGTGGGGAACAGAACAGGCAGACGGACCAAAGTACACTGCTGAGGGGAGCAGCGGGCAAGACCTGAGAGGTCTGTCCTGCCATGTGGGTTTCTCCCTGGGCGGCCGGGAATCAAACTCATGCTGAAATGGCTGCAGATTGCTTCATACGTTGCATCTTAACCCATGCATCACCAGGGAGGCCCTACGGTGCTAGATTTTAGATAAATAGCAAGATGGACAGATCTTGACTCAAACGGTACTTAGTGAAAGTACTAAGTACTCAGCACATAGTACTTAGTGAAAGAAGGAAACTCACAAAGTATACTGTTTTTTACATTAAATCTAGTATGTTCTTAATACTGGTTCAGGATTTTAAGTCTGTAAAAGAAAAAAGTGATGTCATTTATATTGTGATACTTTATCTGTTATATGCCAATATTATATGCCAATTTTAGGAATGTTAAAATATCAGATTATGTCTTAGAATCAATGAAATAGGCTATCACACAATCAATACCATTAGCATAAGTTAAAATATATGCACAAAATTACATTTTTGCAAGAATGTATTTAAAATATTTAAAATAAAAATATGTCAATTCTGTGGAGAAGAACAAAAAGGCAGGCAGAGTGGATTGGGGGGGGTAGGACATGCGCACACACACATATATGCATGTATATATACATACATAACAAGCCAATGAGAGAGAAATCTTAGAGTAGGGAAAAATTTACACTTATCCCCAGGGTACAACGATGAACCTCCACTGCTTTTTATAAATATGCTTACCTTTGGTCCTTTTCACCTGGTCATCTTTCACATCATATTTGCCTTACAATATCAACATTAGGTGACAGTTTTGTTTGCACACTGCTGCTTCTAAATTTCCAGAAGAGATCATCTTGGTTTCTCACGATCCAGCACTTGGGGATCAGGGCCATCATTGGCGGCACTTCCCCATGCTAGGAGGTGCAGGGAAAGCCCTGGTCTGTCATAAATGGTGAATCCCAACTGGGATAAGAATAATAAAAAGTAAGTAGAGTTCGAAGAGACATCAAAAAAAAATTTTTCATTGAATTTTTTTTCTCAAATTGCTCTTAAAAAGGAAGGGATTTACTGCAGGGTTGTTGTAGTTTTAAGATTTATGCATACAAGAGCTGGGGTGCAGGCCAGAGGTATGAGGGTATGAGAGGATTCACCAGAGACAGAGTGGGGAGCAAAACAGGCAGATTGACTGAAATACACTGCTGAGGGGAGCAGCGGGCAGGACTGGAGAGGTCTGCTGCACCATGTGGGTCAGTTGCCTAGACTGGGATTGAACTCATGCTGCAGTGGCTGCAGATAGCTTTATAGTGCTGAGACTTAACCCTTTCTGCCACCAGGTAGGCCCTCCAGGGGTTTTAAGGAAAGGGTTTCCTTTGCCACATTTGAACAAGAAAGAGCATAGTTTTCATATGTTGGTTAACTAAGGGCCGAAGGAGAGTCTCTATCCGTTTGATTTTATAATTATTTACCCTTAATAATATAGTGTGTACCTTTTATGTCTTTCAGAAGGCAAAACCTTTAGTTGTGCAGTCCAAAACAAATTTGGCAGACACTGGTTCTTCTGGGAATGAATATTCTACAACTTTGGTAAGTAGATTATTTTTTCCCTATCAGCCTTTTATCAACCATTGTTATTCAGCCCCCACTAATGACACATTTTGGATTACCTACAGGTTGACCAAAAGTACATGGACATAATCAATGAACAGCTGTACTTTCCACCTTCAGAAAAATGTAAGAGTCTTGCTTGTTGGATAAAATTTTATGCACACAATGGATATTTAGTCTAGATTAACTTTGCTTTTCTTTATTACACTGAGATATTTGGTATTCTGGGTGACTACATGATTTATTTCATTCAGCTTATAATACACAGATATGCTGTGTATTATAGTTTATAATACACAGATATGCTGAATGGAAGTATGTAATATGTATTTCTGAATATTGATCACTGAATATTAACCAATTCATTTAAATAATGAATACTGGTTAATTCAATTAATTTAGTCCTACTTCAAAACTAGAAATTGTCTTAGTTAGAATCCTGTTTATTAGTTAAACTGCCAACAAACCTAATGCTCTTGTTGAATTCTTGTTTTTCTAATGTAAGAATTAGAACAAATGTAGAGCTACTTCCTATGGAAACAACCCAAATGCCCAAAAATAGATGAATGGATCTAGAAGATGTGGTATATATATACAGTGGAATATTACTCAGCAATCAAAAAGATAAACTCATGGCATTCACAGCAACGTGGATGGAGCTAGAAGGGATTATGCTCAGTGAAATAAGCCAGAAAGAAAAAGAAAACTATCGGATGATTTCACTTATAGGAAGAATGTAGAGAAAACAAATAAGGAATAAGGGGGGGAGTAAGTTTAATAAATTAAAAATCAAAATCAACAGACAACTATAAATCAGAGCCATACTGCAGGGGAGGGGGAGGGGAAAGGATAAAAATAGGGGTGGGCAGAGCACAGGGACTATGGTGATGGGACATGGGTGAATTTGGTGGTGGGAATTTCACAGGGACTACACCTGAGAGGAGAAAGCATACATTGTACAAAAATGAAGAATGATGTAAAAAATAAATAAAGTTTTTTTTAAAGTAGGACTACTTCTAGCCCACTTTATCTCCCATTAGAACTTAATGGGCTTCAAATTGAATTTTCCTGAATCCGGAAATACGTGTTTTCCATAAATTTCCACAAGTCTTTAGAAAACAACTGTGCTTCCTTTTCCCTAGATTTGAAAACCAAGAAAGCTTTCTTATCACCTCTTTCAAAATTTTCCACATTATAAGCAGTCCAGGTGATGATGTTGACTGGCAAGTTGAGTAGGTGAATTTAAAGAGATTCATCCTTTAAAAACTTGTTAATAAGCTCTAATGAACACATTGAATTAACAAAAAATGACAGTACTATTGATGAAAACCAAAGAGTGTAGTAAGCTCTGTTTTTCATGTCTGGGAATGTTTAAATATATACTCTTATAATGAATCTTTATGCAATGGAGAAGTGTGTAATATGAGTCTAAATTCTAAAATCGAATGTTTAAATCTTCTACTTTTTAGTAATTAAATTGAGCTTCAGCAGAGAGAAACCTTCTCAACCCTTTGAAATAGAGCTACTTTTTCTATAGTGCTCATTTGTAGGTAGTTTCTGTTTCAGAGGTGCCTGCTTTGGGCACAGAAGAGATTTTCCACATTCCTGGTGTTGTCTGCCTCCCAGGCTGGCATTTGAATCATAGAAATGCCACGACTGAACCCCAATGCATTTACTGCTTAAAGAACAGCAAATCTTTCGAAGTACTGGCATTAACTGAGTGATTAGATCTGTTGAGTTGCTGGAAAATCCAACACAGCAAGTTACACCTAAAATATCATAAGGTATTAAAGAGAAGAGAGTCTCTCATGACTTATCTCCTAAATATAGATTGTTGGATTCAGAACCTGTGGTTGGCTTGAAATTTTATCCAGCAAGTCTAATTAACAGCAGCATTTCATTCCAAAACAAAATTCAGTGGAGTATTTTGCATCCTAATTGATTTTCCTCTGCCAAGTAAACCATTTTTCAAGTAATGGAAATAAAATATTTGAAGTAATACAAATAAACCTTGATGACCACCTGGAATATGAGGCAACCCCAGCCCAAACTAACATTGTCACTCCTTTTCCTCAGTCCTGAGAATACAAAGGTTGTACTGAAAATTCCCCTAAAAGTGATTGTGCCACTTTTTTTGCTTTACTAATACAATTGAACGTAATTTTTTTTATAATCCACAATTGTTTAGTATGCCACAAAGCTCATTATTATTATGAGTCTGCATTGCAGGACTGATATCAGTGACCCTGAATGCCTCTGGACATAACCCTGAAATTTCTTTCTACTTAATCTCTGATAATAGTGCTGATATGTCCTATTCTTCCCACTGAAGGTGGCTTGGGGGAATAAACTAGTTAGTCAAATCTTCTGCCTAGTTGAGTTTCAGTCAATCCTAATTTAAGAGAAATAAATGTCTTATTTTTAATGTATAAAAACAAATGAATGTCAGGAGGAAAGCAGAATTACAGATTTAATATAGGACATTAATGAATCTTTTCATTAAAAAGCAAGGTCTTTAATGATTTGCACTATTGGTTGTTATTCACACTGGACATTTAAAGGTCCAGGTACCTTGGAAGGCTTAGTGCCCTAGGAAATTAGTTAGTACATTGTCAGTGTTTTCAAGTTCCAATTCACAAATCCATTGTTATATTTCTTTCAGGACCCTAGAAAATACTTGAATATATTATCAGTGTTTTGCAGCACTAATTCACAAATGCATTTTTAAAGAGGTGTTTAGCTACCTGGTTAGTATGTACATGACTTATAGACATCTATTATTTTCTATAACATGGTAAGGGGCTGCTCTAAGTTATCTATTTGACCCCAAATCAAACTCTATAAAGAGCCCATTAGTATTTTATTTTTTTCCTTGTATAAATTTATTTATTTATTTATTTATTTATTTATATTTTTTATTTTTATATTCCCCATACAATTGCAACCCCCTTATTTTGACCCAAATCCCTCCTTCGCCCACACTCCCCCCATCATGTGTCTCTGGTTCATAGTTGTTTGTTGATTTTGATTTTTTTCTTTCTTATAGTTATTCTTTTTCCTGGTCCCTTATTTAGGTTTTCTAAATTCCTGCTATGAGTGAGACCATCTGGTATTTTTCTTTTTCTTTCTGGCTTATTTCGCTGAGCATGATCCCTTCCAGCACCATCCATGTTGCTGCAAATTGCATGTGTTTATCTTTTTTGTTGTTGTTGGTTTTGTTTTGTTTTGTTTTTTATTTATTTATACAAGCACTGGGTACAGTCAGAAGCGCGGAAGGGTGAGGGAATTCACCAGAGCCAGAGCGGGGAGCAGAGCAGGCAGAAGGACCGAAGTACACTGCTGAGGGGAGCAGCAGGTGGCAGGAGAGGTCTGTGCGCCATGTGGGACCCTCCTCCAGTGGCCAGAGAGCAGCCGGGGATTGAACTGGCACTGCAGAGGCTGCAGGCAGCTTCGCAACCCAGCGCTCAACCGCTGCGCCACCGGAGAGGCCCTGTTTATCTTTTTTGAATGCTGAGTAATATTCCATTGTGTATATGTACCACATCTTCTTGATCCAGTCATCTATTTTGGGGCATTTGGGTTGTTTCCAAAGCTTAGCTATTGTAAATAGTGCTGCTATAAACATAGGGGTGCAGGTGTTCTTTGGAATTAATGTTTCTGTGTCCTTTGGGTAAATACCTAGGAGTGCAATGTTCCACATCACTTGAAATCAGGGAAATGCAAATAAAAACTACAATGAGATACCATCTTACACCAGTGAGAATGGCACATATTAAAAAAGCTGGCAACAACAAATGTTGGCGAGGATGTGGAGAAAAAGGAACTCTCCTGCACTGCTGGTGGGAGTGCAAACTGGTCCAACCGCTATGGAGAGCTGTGTGGAGATTCCTCAACCTACTAAAGATAGAGCTTCCATTAGTATTTTAAATGCCTATTGAAAATTTATCTTCCCTGTTAACAGGATCCTCAGTGTTGCCTCAAATTAAGGTTCTTTGGTTGTACTTCCCATAACACAAGATACTTTTTTAAATTTGATTTATTTATTTTCTTATATCATTGCTACTTTTTGATAGTTCCCATAGTTCTCCCACCACCACCGCACCCATGAACCATCACCATGATCCCTTGTGCTCTTCCTGTCCCTGTTTTGACTGCTCTTCCTCCTCCTCCCCTGCTGGATGCCTCAGATCTGTGGTCTGCCTGAAAGTTTTATCTTTTTCCTGATCCTTTGCTCGGTTTCTCTATATTCCACATAGAAGTGAAACCATCTGATGTTTGATTTTTTCTTTCTGACTTTTTTTTTAGTATAATCCCTTCCAGCTCTCTCCATGTTGCTGCAAATGGCATGAGTTTATCTTTTTTGATCACTGAATAGTATTCCATTGTGTGTATATACCACATCTTCTTGATTCATTAATCTGTTTCCACAAGATACTTTTTAACTTTAACAATACTTTGAACAATTAGTGGGTATAGTTACTATCTAGATGTCTTTCAAGTTTTAACTCTAATATTCACAAAGCCCTATGAAATTAGCATTCTTGCTTTACTCTAGTCCACAGAGGAGACAATTGGATTCAGAGAGGTTTAGATAGATGCCAGAGTTACTCCACAAATAAGTATATTCACTGCCAGACGGTGTGGGCCTGGACCCCAGGCTGTCACCACTCAATTATATTAACTTGCTCAAGACTCAAGTATAAAAACATGTCCCATTCTCAACCATACACAATGGGAAAATGTGATAAAACAGAAAAGCTTCAGAGATGGAGGAATTTCTGTTTTAATCTCAGTTCTAGTCACTTACTCACTAGGTGACTTGATCTCAATTACCTCTGCTGTGTAAAATGCAAAGGGTGTCCTCACATATAACTTTGTTATGCAGGTTAAATGAGACATGTCTAGTTAACTCCTATCTCTATCTTTCCTCCTGAGTTGTTCCTAATATAATCCCCAGCTTCCCAAGTTAACATCTGGCAACCAAATTTTTTAATCCACTTCACATACCACTAGTAAACTAGTCTCTCTTTTAGTTCTTTAGTGACTAATTTTCTACAAGGCATTACTAAGAATTAAATCTAGCATTAGTATCAAAATATACAATGTATATTTTGAAAAGTATGAAA